AATGAGTTAACGCACCCCAAGGGGGGCTAGGAAATGTATTTTTGGGGGGGGAACCCCTGGGGCTAGCTGCAATCTGGTTTTTTTTTTTTTTTTTTTTTCTTTTTCCGTGTCCGGCAACGGATCGCAACCCCCAGTGTTGTCCCCGTACCGGACCAGGGACTGGCAATGGGATTGCAACCCTCGGTGTTGCTCCCGCGCCTCGCTCAGCCAGTGAGTGGGAACCGGTCTATATGTGGGATCCGAACCCTCGGGTGGGAGCGCCACCGCGCTTCCCAAGCGGCGCACTTATCCAGTGCGCCACCGGGCCGGCCCCTGCAATCTGGTTTTTTGTTGTTGTTTTTTTAAAGTTGACCGGTAAGGGGATCTTAACCCTTGACTTGATGTTGTCAGCATGACGCTCTCCCAAGTGAGCCATGGGCCAGCCCCAACAATTCAGTTATTTTGGATGAACTGGAAAATAAATTTTGGTAGACAACTAGTGGTGTCCATCACATAGGGTGGGCTCATGAATCCCTGCTAGACTCAGAGGTGAGACAGTCACCATCTGTGGGTTCCCAGGAACTCTCAGGCCCTGTAGATACAGATCAACTGTCCCATGCACCTGGGAGTTTAATTCTGTTCACCGTGTCTGGCAGAAATGGGCTTCTGTTGACTCATTAGTGGCTACCAGCCAAGACAAGAAAATGGAACTACACCCATAAAGGGACCTACTCCTTGGCTAATTACAACCCTGCCCCCGCCACACGGATGACCTTATGTTCCACCACACGCTGGGTCATAACTCTTGGCAAGACCTGAAACTTCACCCTTTACGGATGGTTTAAACAACTAACATTCCTTAAGAAAAATTCAAAAGCAAACAGTTTGTGCTAAGTACACAGCTACTGAGGCCTTAGACCCCTAGGAAACATTCCCACCTCCTCTTTCCCTCATAAGGAATAAACAGGATTAGAATCTGGGAAACTTGCTGTACTGGCCTGCTACACCCTTAATCCAAGGGAGTGACACTGATGATAAAATTTCAGATACAATACAAGGGGAGAGATTGGAGACGGGGATACACTTTGGCCTTCTGGCCTGGGGAGAGCCCAAACTGTCCCCCACAAACCTGGTGCTGACTCTCTCAATGAATACATCTTGCCTATATACAGTAAACATTTCTTCCCTCCAGGCTCAAGGTGGCAGCACGTTCATCAGTTAAATTCCCGTTAGTGTGTCCAGGAGAAGGGTCCTTCTAGATAACCAGGGCCTCTCAGAGACAAGTTTGCCCTGTTAGTCATTAAGTTATTTGTCGTGGTGAACTATCAGGCCTAAGAGAGAAGGTACTTGAATAGGCAGGCATTGCTCTTATACCGAAACCATCAAAAGGCGGCCCCAGAAGGAGACTCTCCAGGTAGGGTTCAGGAGACTAGTTCTGTCCTTCTAAGTCTTGCCTTCAATAAGGAGATATTTTGCTCCCAGTGGTGACAAGGTGACCAGATGGTATCCTCCAGCTGGAGACCAGCCCATAGCTCTCAAGGAGGAAGTCCCATCCCTGAAGCAGGAAGAGGGTGGTCCAATTATCCCAGAGTTGGGCTCCCAGTGGTGACAAGGTGACCAGATGGTATCCTCCAGCTGGAGACCAGCCCATAGCGCTCAAGGAGGAAGTCCCATCCCTGAAGCAGGAAGAGGGTGGTCCAATTATCCCAGAGTTGGGGCCCTGGGACTGGCTGAAGAGGACAGGGCTTGGGGCAGAGCTCAGGCTGGGGAGTTTGGACTACCCTGGGGCTGCTGGACAGTGTGCATTTCCCTGCAGCCTTCTAATCTCCCTATAGCTCACCAAGGGCTGTGTTAAGCTCAGGAGAAGGTTTGTGCAATTAGCACATGAGAGTTCAAATGTACTGCACAGGTTTTAACTTTTATTATAGAATTCCTCTTCTTTTCTCTCTTTTTTAATTGGAACATAATTGAACTGTACATGTTTGAGAGATACAGAGTTGAATATCAAGACCTGTGCAAAGTGTGTGATAATCAAATTGTGATAATTAGCATATTCATCAATACAAAAGGTAAAACTTCTTCGTGCCCATTAGCCAATTTCTTGCTAACACTTCTCCCCTTTCCCCCTTTCTCACCTCTAGTAACCACAGTTCTGAACTCTTCTGAAAGTTCAACGTATTTTTGTGACCTTTCTTTCTTTTTAATTCACTTATTATCTTAGCTCCCACTTATGAGTGAGGACATGCAGTATCTCTCTTTCTGTGTTTGGCTTATTTCACTTAACATAATTTTCTCCAGGCTCATCCATGCTGCTGCGAATGGCAGAATTTCATTCTTTCTTATGACTGAGTAATATTCCATTGTGGAAATTTTCAAATGTACACAAAAGTAAGGAAACTCTTACGAAGAACCCCCGAGTACCTATATCCAGCTTCAACAATTATTAATATGTTGCTTGTCTTGTTTTAGCTATCAACATTTTTTAAAAAAAAAAATCTTTTTGGTGAGTATTTGAAAGCAAATCCCAGAGATGGTATCATCTCACCCGTAAATTAAATGGTACTCATTAAATGGTGTTTGAAATATTACAGACGTGACATTCTTACGTTCAACCAAACCAGCTAGAGTTTACAGCAAGGAAGGTGAGACCCACTGGTCTCTCCCAGCCCCCAACTTTCACAATGAAGAGAACTCAGGCCTGGGGGTGGGGGGGCGGCCTGCCCGACATTAGTGCTAGAGCCGGAACCAAAGAGACTTCGGTCATCACGACTGTCTAGTGAGTGAAGGGCCCCAGGCTTGTGACCGACTTTCCAGGCCCGGTCCCTGGAAGAGGGCGGGGGACCCTCCACTTATTGCCAGCTGGAAGAATCCTGGCCGTTCCCCCTCACGCATTTCTGGAAGCGCAGGCCGGGAGCGCGGCGGGCCAAGGATGCAGCCAGGTCCCGGGACGTGCCACCTGCGGTAACTGGAGCGGGGTCCCAGGCGGGACCAAGCAGGGTACCGGAGGCAGGGGTGGCCTTGGAAATATAAGAGGGGGCCTGCTTCCACGACCGGTGGGATAACTGCCCCGTGGCCGCCCCTGGGCTCCACGTGGCGAGCAGTCCCGACGGCTGGCACGGCGTCCGTGCCAAGGGCTGGGAGCAGGAAGTCGTCCCCTCGGGCGCGGCCGGGCAGGTGCGGCGCAGCAGGTGCAGTAGGACAGGTGCGGCGCGGGAGGGCACCCGGTTCCCTGGAGGAGGTGAGCGCCAGTGGCCTTCGCGGCCCGGGATGCAGGAGCCTGCGGCAGGGCCCGGCAGGGGGACGGTATTGTCGGGAAGGGGGAGGGGTGCTGCAATAAGGCCCAGGGAGCTCGGATCCGGGCAGCCGGGAGGGTCTCGAATAAGGGGGACAGGGCGGACAGACTGAGGTCCGGAAGGAATGGGTGTCCTTCGGCCTCCGGGAGCGGGTTTGGGAGGGGGACTGGGGGTGGCGAGAATGCGGGGGAAGGAAGGGACCGCAATAAGGTTCTGGAAGAGCGAGCTGGGCCTTGGCCCGGGGCTGGGGGCCGGTACGCGGGTCTCGGAAGCCGAGGGGTGCAGGAGTGGTGCTAAGACTCTGGGGGCGCGGCCCGGATTTGGGTGGAGAGGGGAAGATGGACCTGCCGCTGAGCCGAGCTGGGGCAAGGAGCCTCTGGAGCAGGCGGAGGGTGACGAGGGAGGCTGATGGAGCCCGTCCAAGACGGGGGCGACGCTCAAGCACCCAGGAAAACCGAGCAAACAGTTTGTGCTAAGTACACAGCTACTGAGGCCTTAGACCCCTAGGAAACATTCCCACCTCCTCTTTCCCTCATAAGGAATAAACAGGATTAGAATCTGGGAAACTTGCTGTACTGGCCTGCTACACCCTTAATCCAAGGGAGTGACACTGATGATAAAATTTCAGATACAATACAAGGGGAGAGATTGGAGACGGGGATACACTTTGGCCTTCTGGCCTGGGGAGAGCCCAAACTGTCCCCCACAAACCTGGTGCTGACTCTCTCAATGAATACATCTTGCCTATATACAGTAAACATTTCTTCCCTCCAGGCTCAAGGTGGCAGCACGTTCATCAGTTAAATTCCCGTTAGTGTGTCCAGGAGAAGGGTCCTTCTAGATAACCAGGGCCTCTCAGAGACAAGTTTGCCCTGTTAGTCATTAAGTTATTTGTCGTGGTGAACTATCAGGCCTAAGAGAGAAGGTACTTGAATAGGCAGGCATTGCTCTTACCATTCAGCTCCCTGCACGCCTCCCCCTCTCCTCTGCCAACCCCTCTCTTCCAGAGCAGCCTGTGCCTCCTTCTCTGTGTACCGTTTCCCACGCTGTCCCCTGCCCTTTTCTTTCACTTTCGCCCCGCATTCCTCCTCTTCCCCCCCACCCTTGTCTTTCCATTCCTCTCCCCTCCCTTCTGCCTGTGACCCCTCCCTACTAGTCCTAAGCCCCTTCATCTTTCACAGGTCATCTCTGCCGTAGCCCTGAAACCTTAGCCTGTCCCTCCCACCTTCCCTGTGTCTTGTCTCACGAGTCCTCTCAGGGTGGGGGCAGGATGTGGAGCCTCACAGCTGGGCTCACCCCATAGCAGAACCTCTCCATCCAGGAGGACGGGCAATGTGACAATTAAGGGGGCTTGCAGAAAGAGGTGAGTTCACTGTCTAGTAAAACTTGAGTTCCGGCTGTGGGGTGACCCAGCTCCTCTGCTACCATGAACAGGGCCCCTCTGAAGCGGTCCAGGATCCTGCACATGGCGCTGACTGGGGCCTCAGACCCCTCCACCGAGGCAGAGGCCGGTGGGGAGAAGCCCTTTCTGCTGCGGGCATTGCAGATTGCACTGGTGGTCTCTCTGTACTGGGTCACCTCCATCTCCATGGTGTTCCTTAACAAGTACCTGCTGGACAGCCCCTCCCTGCGGCTGGACACCCCCATCTTCGTTACCTTCTACCAGTGTCTAGTGACCACGCTGCTGTGCAAGGGTCTCAGTGCACTGGCCGCCTGCTGCCCTGGGGCCGTGGACTTCCCCACTCTGCGCCTGGACCTCAGGGTGGCCCGCAGCATCTTGCCCCTGTCAGTGGTCTTCATCGGCATGATCACTTTCAATAACCTCTGCCTCAAGTACGTTGGCGTGGCCTTCTACAACGTGGGCCGCTCACTCACCACCGTCTTCAACGTGCTGCTGTCCTACGTGCTGCTCAAGCAGACCACCTCTTTCTATGCTCTGCTCACCTGCGGCATCATCATTGGTGAGTGGCCGGCCGGGGCCATGGGGAATAGGGTGGGCATGGGGTCTGAAACCCTAAAGAACGGCCCCTCCAGGCATCTTTGTACTTCATCTATCCCAGCTCCCTTGGTGCAACACTCACATGAGGAAGAGCCTGGGGCCCAGAAAGGGCAAAAAACTTTTTATTTATTTTTTTTTTTTAAAGATAACCGGTAAGGGGATTTTAACCCTTGACTTGGTGTTGTCAGCACCACGCTCACCCAGTGAGCTAACCGGCCATCCCTATATGGAATCCGAACCCGTGGCCTTGGTGTTATCAGCACCGCACTCTCCCCAGTGAGCCACGGGCCGGCCCGCAGAAAACTTTTTAAAGGTCACCCAGCAAATTAGAGATCCAGCCAGGACAAGAAAGTAATGATAATAATAGCAACAACAGCAGCAAAAGCAATTGACATTGACTGAAATGTATCAGGCACACAGATCTAAGCACTTTACTCATATTAACTCAACTAAACCTCATAACAAGGTGGGATTATAATCCACATTTTACCAAGGGACAACCAAGGGACAGAGACGTTAAGCAACTTGTCCAAGATCACGCAGCTAATAAGTGGCAGAGCTGGGATCCGAACTCAGTCTGGTGCCGTAGTTCACACACATGACCACTATACTCTATTGCTTCTCAAGAGCTCAAGTGTCCTGATTCCTCATCCAGTGCTCTTTGTAGAGGACAATGTGTCTTTTTAATAAATACACCATCACCCTCTGACCTTCCCAGCTCAGGATAACACCTGAGACAGTGGTAAGACAGATGCTTTGAGAGGCCTTTGCTGTCTTTCCAGACTTCACCCTCAGAAAATAATAGTTTTTGATGAGGACATTGTACTAATCATTTCACATATAACATCTCCTTTGTGCCTCCCAGAGGTCTCCTGGGAGGTGGCATCACTGTGATCATCTCCCTACAAATGAGGATGCTGAGGGCTCAGAGAGGTTAAGTTACTTGCCCAGGACCACACAGCTAGGAAGAAGTCAGGCTGGGGTGCAAACCCAGATTGGCAGGACTCATAGGCCTGTGCTTCTAACCACTCTGCCTGTTCTTGTCTACTGGAGGTTAGAGCTGCAATAGACAATACAGTAACCACTGGCCATGTGTATTTAAATTAATTTAAATTAAATGAAATATTAAACATTCAATTCCTCATTTGCAGGTTTTTTTAAAATAAATTTTATTGTGCATATTTTAGGTTTACAACTTGAGATTATGGGATATATAGAGATAGTAAAATGGTTACCATAGTGAAGACATTAACATATCTATCA